TGCGGCCTAGTCCATAGGGCCTGCGCGCGCACCAGCCCGCGGAGGGGAGGAGGCGCCCGGCCGCAGGGCAGGGTCTGACGCAGACCCCCTCCCTTGCCTTTCCGTCCCTCAGCGGTGGCTTTTCCCAGGAAAAGGGACAGTTCCCGGGGTTTTCCAGGCTCGGTCCTCCCTGTCTCTCACACTGCCTCGAGGGGGTTTCCAGGACTTTCTTCATTCTTGCTTTTCCCAGCTGTCCTTCCCAGCCGGCCATCCTGTCCTCTCCGTTTAGCCTTCCTGTCTCCCTGGCCCCTCGCGCCTGCTGACCTCTTCGCGGCTGAAGGAGGCTGAGAAAACGGCCGTCTTATCCGAAAGGCAGAGCCTTCAAGCCAGGGGTGGTGGGTGGGGGGCCAGCCCGCGAGGGGCTGAGCGGCAAAGCCCGAACCCTGAACGTCCCGCTGCGCCCGGGGCGAGGGCAGCCTCCGCCTTGCCAGGGCGCGGAGTTTATACAGTCTCTTGGCCCAGGTGTTTCTCATGCTGCAGGGGTGATTGCAAAAGTATCAGCCACGGATGCTGTCTGGGCACCCCCTTCCACACGCACATGGCCCGTGCCTCGGTTTCCCCAAGCGAGCACCCGGGAACAAGGCTTGCCTGCCTTTGCAGGGCGTTTTGCCAGTCCTGTAAGACTGCCTTTCCCGTTTGCTGAATCACTCTATTAATTGCACGTTGCAATTGTTCTTTTCTTACCCCATCGCCTTCTTGAACTGCTCCTGCTCTTGAAATTTGAGATCAACAAATTTAAATGCTTCTCTAACCCCCTGCAGTTTGCAGCTATTGGAGCTAATAGAGACAAAGGTGTGCAATAAATTTGCTTAGGGAATGATGAGCTCCCCAACTCTCAGGCTATTAGCACAATTTCACAGTATTTCGAATGATTTATTCTCGGCGTAATCCAGTGTCCTATACAGATGCAGATGAAATGAAGTTTCCTACAGCAAAGGATATTCCTTTGAAAAGTAGTTTTCCTGAGATCTGTTTATGATATAGGGCATTCTGGTTTTTTCCCCGGTTTTCTTCACTGATCCAGGGACTGTTTTGAAATAATTGTTAAAAACAGGCATTTAAAAAGAACCACCATCTAACAACTTCAGCCATTTCTCCATTGATAACAATATTAATTTATCATCTCACCAAGCCATCTGTCAATGGGCAAAGCTCTCCCAGAATCTCCTGTTGACCCAATGTGTTTAGAATTAAGAAAGTAACTGTCCTGTAGCACCTGCCATCTCCCTTACAACTGCCTTACGTTTCATCTCACATGGCAGATTGTGTTTTCTCTGTAAGACTTGATTCTTTCAACCATTGCATTGCTCCGTTCATGTTTTGCACGTAACACATTTAAACAAATGCGTTTAACAGAGCACCGGTGTCTTGTGAATTGATAGGGCACTGTCAAGGAAGCATGCAGCAAATTTAACCACCCTTACAGGCACTGTTAGCTAGGCTGAACTTATAACAAAAATGTTCTAAGAAAGATATGCTGAAGACATTTTGAATTAATTCACCTTTTTCATTAATTCAGCCTAACAGACACATTCAGCTAAACTATTTTTCCTCTTACTTGTGCTTCTCATCTCTCACTCCATCCTATAGACTAGGTATCTGAATTCATAATGCATCTAACATCACATAATAGAGAATGATAGTGGAACAAGTTGTGTTCTTTTAAATGATGGTTTGAATGCCCCGTTCCAGTGACTTATTTCTGCAAAATATCTTAGTGCAAAAAAGTTTGCATGTTGACTGTTTCTTTAACTTTGAAGAAAAAGAAAACATCATACATTTTTGCACATATTGCAGGACTATGGTGTGAGGTTCAGACAGTGAAATGAATTGTGAACAGAAAGCGAAGCTAGGCAGTGCCCTCCTTTCCAGGATGATGATTTTTTTAATAGCCAAACCTCTTTTTTTTAAGATATTTTCATGAACTAAAGTTATCTTAGCAGCACTTGTAAGGACATAAGAAGTTGGGCTTTCAAGCCCAACTTCTAACCTGACGGTAGTTAATTTAAAAGCAGTGCCGTTATGCCGTGTTGCTTGCCTGTATATTTGTTCGCTTCCAGTTATTTTCTTACAAAAAGAAAAAAAAAACCATCAGTGATCAGGGAGATGCCATGTCCCAGAGCCATGCAACAGGCAGAGCATGGCATGAAGTCTGTAAGCCATATGTAAAGGAATTGATGACAGATGGAGCAGGGCTATTGCCTGAAGTGGCAATGTTGGGAGTGCGCCAGAGCCTACCAGGACAGAGCTGGAAGTTAAAGGAGTGCTATTACTGCTGGTGGTGGGTGGTCAGGGGAAGCGAGAGACAACGTTACTCAAGCAAGGGCTTGGGTTCCCCTGGAGTTTTGAGGTCAGACACCAATGTTCTCTGCTCGGCCTTGCATGGGTGTGCTTGGCTGGAGGAGTCTGACGACAGGCCTGGTCCTCTGCTGTG